AATGTTTTTTTACCAATCTCTAATTAAACCTGACCAGATTGATGGGCTAACAGCTAGTCAAGGTCAGGCAACATTCTAATCACTTTAGTGTCATCTTAAAACAAGTAATTGCCCAAAACATTCATAGTACTTAATGAAAAAATGACTGTAAACTTTTAAACCAACATTATTGTTAAATTCCCATTTTTTACATGGAAATATGCTGAAAATCGCCACTGGTTAAACTAGTAATACAGCTAGCTTAGCTGTTAATTAGTGCTGCAAAGAACCTTAAAATCGAATTCAAATAGCTTACAACAATGTTTAAGTTTATAAAATAGTTTTCACATTAATTACTGACATTATTGAGAATAGCCACATTTTTTCCTAATTTAAATGATCAATCTGTAAGAGTGAATCTCTAGTTCTCCAGACTGAGGTTGTTCAATGATCTAAAACAGGCGATATAACTGTAAACAACATTTCAACAAGAATCAACTTTACTATTATTTACAAACACTATTGGTTAGATTAGCTTTGTTTTGTGTTATGCAAACTGGTTGCTTTTGTGCTCTTATAATGAAAAATGACACCTTAGGACATCAAGTTTTCTCAGATATCTGATTCATAGGTGAACTGCTGCGACATGGCACTGTTAAGAAATTCATCCATGAGGGTGTGTTAACTTGCAATGAACAATTCATCTTATGAAGAGAATACCTTCAGCTGATGAAGAAATATAGTTTCTGCTTAAATACTTTAACCCTTAAATTTCCACACACACCCATAAAATCCTGAATACAAAATTTTTCTTTCTCACATATTTTTGTTAACGTGGAAGCAGTAACAGCTGGCCATGCGGATCACCAGTTCCCAAGGGCCTACCCGCCCAGCTGGCCCAGTTAGTTAGTAATATTTTAAAGCAGCCTTGATCAATAACTCTTCGGGCTTTCTGAAAGTATTTCAATATTTAATGGACTTTGGCTGCTTTTTCTCTCATTTTCTCTGCAGGTATTTAAAAAGTGCCAAGACTTTAGAAATGAAGGCATATTAATGTGGATCTTAAAGTGATCATGTGTGTTTTCCCTGGTGATAGGGGCCAGTACATACCTAAATCATTGCAAGCAAGCTGTATTTTGGTGTTCCAGTAAGACCTTACCAAAACCCTTTTTATAAGACACACTGTGCCGGCAAATCAGCGTAATATTACCACAACAGCGTGTCTTATAAACGTACCATGTCGGCATGGCGATGAGCAACTTTTACGGCATTCGTTCCACCTTGCTTGGTAGTAATATCGTGGTAATTGTCTGTCTTATTAACGGCAATTGCGCCTTGATGCAACAGATGGTGATGTCATGATCATGTGGGGAGTTACTGCTGAGCTCCGGCTGGCAACTATATTGACAATGAACGTAAACGGGCCGTAACTTTCACTTTTGTAAACATAACAAGCTGAGATGATAATCTGGAGCAATGCAGCACTCCTGGAGCTTCTCGCCGTTGGAGCTGCAGGTCAGATCACCTGAGGGAATGTGGAGGACAGACACCTTTAGGAGCAGCTTGTTGAAAAAACGTAACGATCGCGGCTTTGATCGCAGAAGTCCGCGCAGCGCAGGGACCACCCCATACCCCCATTTTCTAAAAAGGTCAAAATTGCACCATATTACCGCCACAATCAGACCACTCATAATATAACTAAGGCTCCTTGATGCCGTCACGGCGTTGCGGCAAATTGATGGCATTGTTTTGTAAAAACAGCTCAAGATGGCCATTAGAGTAAAAATCCCTGGAAACACAATTTTCGAACGAGTACTTTGCCAGATCTTTCAACCTCCAGCAAAATGACAAGAACATCAGACTCTCATCACTGGCAACAAGCGAAGAGGTAAATGTGTAACACAACAACATTTATGAATGGCGAAGGTTTTGTAACCGCTTATTACAAATCAGTAAATTTGTTTTGTCCTCACAGGCTCCCGTAGAAGGAAACATGGCATCTAATATGACTTAGACTGATTTTATGGCTATATGTTACAAAGTCACAAGCATTTTTCAACACCTGGGCAACGTTAAATTCATTGTCAACAACAATTCCATGGAGATTTCCAGATTATCATGGTAAAAACTACGCATTGTCTCTTTAATGCATTTTGCTGCCAGCAGTTCTGTCATTCCTTCATTTGAATCTATAATCTACGTATGGGTATGGCTTTAAAAAAACTTTTCATGTCTTTGGCTCTTGTAATAGTTTTTGGCTATCCCCTCTCCGGGAAGTAAAACCTTACTCTGACAAAATGTTTGTAGGGGTTTCTTTCAAACCTAGGCGTGATGAGATGTAGTGATGATGCCTGCATGGCGTGCATTATTAATGAGCTGACATCCGATTCTAAAATATTTTAGTTTGAACCAGGCTGCGCTCCTCTGTGGCTTAGATCTGTAGACATTTGGCTGGATGGCGGCCAAGCGGCCGAGCTTGAAGGAAGTAGTTCCTCCATCCATCAGCCAGCAGTCCGACTGAAAGCGTGCCCAGCTGCGACTGCAGACAGGAAGGGTCTGTGGAGCCACACTGTGAGCTTCAGATCTGCAGCAGATGCTGGCTGCTGTGGTGCACCACATTACTTTAACGCCAAACAGCTAAAACTGGGTCTGAAGAGCGTCATGTGACCTCAGAGCGTTCAGAAAAACCATCAGTAACCGGTTTATTCAGAGATTTATGCTGTTCTGGTTTGGGATTTCTGCTGAGAGATGCGGGGATGAAACAAATCAGGATATTTGAATCATCACCAGCTTTGCTAAATAATGTGTAAAGATGATCAAATCTGAGAGGAAAGCATGTGGTTGAGTTTATTTTTAAACTATTGTGCAGCCAGATTAGAAACATCAAGTATTCTCTCATGGCACGTCCCACGGGAATGCGTGAACGGAGAAATGTAGGCAATTTTAGGAATTCCACCATTCAAATACTTATTAGGAGGAAGTGGTCAACATCTCATGGAGTTAATGTGGTCCTTACTTGTAAAGAATAACAAAGTCTGGGAGAATTATCAAGTTTTGACACCTAGAGTTTTTGTAGGCGTGGTGTAGCGCCACTCCTGAGCCTACACAAGGAAAACAGTGGATGTATGTTGTATCCTCTCTTTTGCATTGTAATATATATATATATATATATATATATATATATATATATATATATATATATATATATATATATATATAATATTTTCTCTCCCTGTATTGTGATATATATCATAGCGTCTCTTAAGTTCTGCATTATGATATATATAGTATCGTCTAGGGGTTGTATCAACTAGTCGACTTCACTGCTCTGTAGTGACTTCTTATGCCTTTCATCGACTAGTCGCTGGCCTGACACGTGATAATGACCGATAAGATGCAGTCCTCAGAAAAGACAGCAGGTGATGAGCCCCTGTGCGTCGCGAGCCGACGCGCTGTGCCAGAGCGTCGGTCTGACGCCCGTGGTAAAACGGACATTTGACCGAATTGTGACCTTTACCCTCTTGCAATTTAACCTTCCCCTCACCCCCATCCTAACCTTAACCAGCTTGCGCATGCAAAGCTCTGATAGGTGACGCGCTCCAGACATCTGCGTTCTAAGCACGGCCACAGTAACATTATCAAATTAGGTGTCGCCACCTCAAAAACTAATTTAACACGCGATCGTTCATGTCGGCTCATTTCCTTTTATGTTTTCTGTCTTTTATTTGTGCCTGATGCGTGGAGCAGAGCGCATCACCTGTTTTGTCCTCATTTCACCTAACTGATGCGGCTGGCGCGCACTCAGCTGTTTTTGCGGTCGGTAGATCTTTTAGAACTGCAGTTCAAAGGTAACTCATAAAATGAATATATATGAACCCAGGTAGCAGTTTCTCTTTAGGATTGAGAGGAGATGCAGGAAGATAATAAACAGACAGGGCAGGAAAAATAGTCAAATAAAAACAAGTTAGTTTTTGTACCTGGTGGTTGCAACAAACAGACACCATTGAAGGTAATCAGAAGTGAGGAACAGAAAATGAAATAATTATTTTAATGTTTAGAGCAGCAGGAACTCTGAGAGGCTGCAGGCGCATCAATGAGTTTGCGGCCACACACACACACACACATATATATATATATATATATATATATATATATATGTGTGTGTGTGTGTGTATATATATATATATATATATATATATATATATATATATATATATATATATGTGTGTGTGTGTGTGTGTGTGTGTGTGTATATATATATATATATATATATATATATATATATATATATATATATATATATATATAGTCTCCACTGTACATATATATATGGAGACTATATATATGTATATATATATGGAGACTATATATATATATATATATATATATATATATATATATATATATATATATATAAGTATTGGTAATTTCTTGCCAATACACCCCTATTTCTTTTTAATCGAGAGAAAACCCGATAAAGAGCTGAATGAGCTACAGAACTCCTGCAAAATCCTTATTCGTCTAAACGTGTTTATATCTGTGATGTATTCCCATATTTTAGGATCATTGGGAATACTGGAACTCCTCCTTTAACCCTCCCCTGACTCCAGGTTCAAACAGCCTTATAAGGTGTCCAGACTTGCCTTATTAATGGATCACTTTTACTAAGTTTCATTCCAGCTTTAACAGAACTCCAGCTGTTCCTTCAAAATAAAATAAATCTCCATCCTGATGCTATCTTCTCTTTTTACCTAAAATAAATCTGGTCATTTAGTTAAAGACAAAAAATATCAGAAACGGTTTAAAATTTAAAATAAGAATATTCTCTCCTCTGAGATTTAAAACACGTGTTATTGTATATGTCCTTATATTTATTAATGGTTGAATACGTGCAAATTAAACTCAGCACAATCAGAGATCTGCTTCCTTTGTTGGATGACAGCTCAGACAGGCTGAGGAGCACTCGGCCCGTCCTGTTCTGTTCATGCTCCTCGGACAAAAGACTCATGTATCATTTTTACCTTCTTAAATCCGCGTCGTTTCTGGGTGTCTCCCCCTTTTATTCCTCCTTGAAACAGATCGGGACAAAGTAAATCCGATTTATTCCGACCGGAACCGAGCCGCCTCCTTCATCCTCACTTCATCCATCCAGAGGAGCAGCTGTGTGGGTTTTTTTTTTCTTAGTTCAAATCAAAGTAGATTCAAGTATTGCGGTCTGGAAAGCTTGGAGATGGAGGGACGCTCATAGCTGTCAGAGAGGACAGGAAGTCCGGGAGGATGAATCCGTCATAACACTGACAGGAAACAAAAGGACGAAAAGTAAAAAAAATCAAAATCCTGGAGTATCCCGGAGAGATGGAGCTTCTACTTCCTAATACTTAACTTCCATCAACCCCCACACAACAACATGGCCGACCCAGCCTGCGGGACTGGAGCCCCACAGCTGGAGAAACGGAGCCGTCTGTTGAGCTGGTCTGAGTTCAGCTAGAGCCAGAGAATTGCTTCCAGACACGCGTGATGTAGCTGGTCTGAGCTCAGCCGGAGAGTGGGGAGCATGCTTTTCTAGGGAAACTGGTCTGAGGTCAGCCGGAGCCGGAGACTTGGTTACAGATACGTGTAGTGTAGCTGGTCTGAATTCAGCCATAGAGGAGTCAGACGCTCGTCCTTACCGGTGTTGCTGATTTCAGAACAGTGAGGCAATCTTCACAGTTTTGTCGAAAATCTTCTTTTCATAAAATATTTTCGACGAAACTGGTAATACCAGTAACAGAGTAAATAATGTGAAAGATGAAAATAAGCTGACCATGTCGTGAAGTTTAGTTTTATTAAATAAAAAGGAGAAGATGAAGAACCGGTCACGTTTCATCCACAAATTCAAGTCTTTTTTGCCACCTGGTGGTAATTCCAAGATACTGCAAGTAGGGGAAATTATTTTGCCGGTGTCGGTAGTTTGGGGTTGCTTCTGATTAATTCTATTCATAAAAAGTAAAAATACATTTCAAATACCACAAGTATTTTCAATATTTTGGATAATAATTATTTTATGTTGTAGTGTGAAAGAAAAAAATATCTTAGAAAAGTATTTAGCCAGACGAGTATTACGATAATCAAACAAAAATAAAATTGTCAGGTCATTCTTTGTATTTTAATCTTTGGTAAGAAGTCAAACTTGATGAGAGATGTGTAACTTTTTCCAATAATAAAGCAGTGCTGAATGTGAATCAAACTAACTCAAAAATACAATCAATATAACTTCCGTAAGAATTAATTTATGTGAGCATGACTGTATGACGCCGGTTTAATTAACTAACATTTTTTGTGTACAGTGCCTTGTTTGGTTGTAATGCCTTGTTGAATGCGCTTTATAAATAAAATGGTATGGTATGGTATGGTATGGTATGGTAACATGCCTTTTGGAGCTGTTTGCTTTAATTTCCTGAACAGAGAAGGCAAAGCCCTCCGCTGGCGAAATGCTGAAACTACATATTTGATGGTTAACTGATTAGATAAGAACATTTTACCTTCTCTTTGTCAATGAAGCTTAATTTAGAAAACGAACATTGTTTATAACCTCTTGTAAATAGTATTAATAAAGATGATAAGCAGAAGATGCAGCTATATTAACGTTAAAAATAATCTTTAATAGCTTTAATGAGGGAGAAGGGCAATTGTCCCCATCTGCTGGCAAATGCATGGAACTACACACTTCATTTGGAAAAGAACATTTTAGGCTCGTATTGTCAATTAAACTGAAATTAAAATCCTAAAATTAGTTGATGCTATCTTGGGATTATTAATATTACAGAGAAGAAGCAAGAGGATAAGGTTGAGAAGCAGAATATGAAATTAGCACTGGAAACTTAGCTTTTATTTCCTTAACATGAACAATGAGGACAATGGTCGCCCTCTGCTGGTGAAAGACGGAAACTGCATATTTGATCTATCCTCTCTTTGTCAATAAAGCTAAAATAAAATTCCTAAACTTTATGACCACATGTGAATATTAATATTAAGGAATAGAAGCAGGGGGAGGAGGAAAAGCAGAAGATGGGGCTATGAACATTACAAAATTAGCTTTTATTTTTTTGCCTTAAAACGAACAAGGAGGGCATTTTGCGCCCTCTGCTGGCGAAACGCTTGAATGACGTCTTTAACATAAATTAGATTAGAAAAAGGTACCTTCCTATTATGGACAATGAAGCTAAAATAAAATTCCTAAACTTTCTTTATTACTTCTTGTGATTGGTTTTTATCTGTGTGCTTCTTTACAAATAATGCTTTATTGGGCAGACAGATAAAATAAATGACATTTTTTTAACACATTTTATTTGAAAACATCAAGGCAAATCTTTAAAATTTTCTTTCTAAATCTTTTTTTTCTGCTCCCTGGTTTGTAATTTTGAGTCATATCCCTGTCTTTTTTAAACAACGGCAAAATAGTTTAAGCAAGCAGAAAAAAATATAAAAATACTTACTAAAAATGTTGTGTTCAAATAAAATGTGTCAACACGTCAATTATTTGATCATGAAGAAATCAAAGTTGTCATATTTCACATAATGAATAAAATAAACTTATAAACACGTCAGTTTAGAGAGAAAATAAAATAAAGAAAAAGAAAAGAAGAAACACAGAGAAAGAAAATGTTTATATTTAAAAGTGAGACCTCTGATTGGTCTCTTACATCAATTACCAGTTTAGGCAATACTCCCATTGGCCAGTAATGAAGTTAACCCATCACATGATGAAACACAGCAACATGAGATGTAATTATTATGATATAAATGTAATTGTGTATTTAACTTTTATTATTGTCACACTTTGATGCAAACAATTAAAAAAACACCGTCTACAGACCCATGTGCATAAACAGGTTTCATATAGATTTAAATTTTGACTTTTATCTCTCAGGTTTTTTTAATTCATTCTCCATTACTCTGATATTTTCATCCTCCTCAGTGGAGCCTATTGTCCGACAACCCTTCAATTCTTTTACATTACATTTTATAAGCATGTTTAATGTGTTTACAAGTCATCACACCCATTCATTTACTTACCATGAACCCAATTTTAAATTATAATGCACCATTTATCCAACAATGTTAATTAAAGCCTTGTCTATCCTTAAGGTTTTTATCTAAATGCATTGAATTACAATTTTAGTTGCACTGACAGCTGTTTATGTGAACAATCTTAGAGATTTAAGTCATTTATATATGTATTAAATAAATAAAAAATGATGTTTATAATATTTACTAAAATAGACAAAGAAATTACATTTATGGTAAATCTGAATATTCTGAGTTATTTTTTTTCTAGTTTTCACTCAGAAAATGGTTCACGCTTTTCCTGTCTGCAGACGTCTTTGGTAAGATGTGTTTGTTTTTTGCTACAAACACAAGCTAGACAGTGTACCAGTTCAGGAGTAATGCACGCACGCACGCACGCGCGCACGCACGCACACACACACACACACACACACACACACACTCTGTCATCATTTCAGCCATCAGACAGTAACATCAATAAGGGCCTTCAACAAACTAGCATCTATAAAAAGCAAACAGAGCTATAATTAGACTGACTCATATGTTCCTCTGCCACCCCGTTCACGCTGATAAAAGCTCTGCTTGTTTCTGAGGTTTATTATGATTACTGACAGCTCAGCCTCAGAGAAACACATATGAAACGGTAAAAGCATGAAGGCTCCAGTTAGCAAACACATGTCAGCAAACATAACCTCAGTCTATTTACCTGATACCAATTTATTATCATCAACCTAGAAAGAACTTTCTGATACCATTTCACAAATCATTCAACAAGAAGCAACAAAATTACATAAAAAAATAAAAACAACTACAACTAATTAAAACTTCTGTTCTCATTAAATAATAAACTTTACATTTGGTGTAATGACAGATTTATTTACATACTCATCATAAAACAGACTTGAAAGTTAGTTTGAGAGATCTGTTTGTTGTAGTTATTATAGCATGATGTAGTATCTGTGTCTGAGGCGGCGTGTAGGAAACAAGCTCAGTAGCCGGAAACCAGAAAGATGTTAGGAGAATTTAAATAGATATACACTCACCTGAAGGATTATTAGGAACACCATACAAATATGGTGTTTGACCCCCTTTTGCCTTCATAATGCCTTAATTCTACGTGGCGTTGATTCAACAAGGTGCTGAAAGCATTCTTTAAAAATGTTGGCCCATATTGACAGGATAGCATCTTGCAGTTGATGAAGATTTGTGGGATGCACATCCAGGGCACGAAGCTCCCGTTCCACCACATCCCAAAGAGGCTCTATCGGGTTGAGATCTGGTGACTGTGGGGGCCGTTGTAGTACAGTGAACTCATTGTCATGTTCAAGAAATCAATGTGAAATGATTGGAGCTGATGACATGGTGCATTTTCCTGCTGGAAGTAGCCATCAGAGGATGGGTACATGGTGGTCATGAAGGGATGCACACGGTCAGAAACAATGCTCAGGTAGCCCGTGGCATTTAAATGATGCCCAACTGGCACTAAGGGGTCTAAAGTGTGTCAAGAAGACATCCCCCACACCATTACACCACCAGCAGCAGCCTGCACAGTGGTAACAAGGCATGATGGATCCATGTTCTCATCCCGTTTACGCCAAATTCTGACTTTACCATTTCAATGTCTCAACAGAAATCAAGACTCATCAGACCAGGCAACATTTTTCCAGTATTCAACTGTCTAATTTTGGTGAGCTGGTGCAAATTGTAGCTCCTTTTTCCTATTTGTAGTGGAGATGAGTAGTACCAGGTGGGGTCTTCTGCTGTTGTTGCCCATCCACCTCAAGGTTGTGCATGTTGTAGCGTCACAAATGCTTTGCTGCATTCCTCGGTTGTAACGAGTGGTTATTTCAGTCAAACTTGCTCTTCTATCAGCTTGAATCATTCGGCCCATTCTCCTCTGACCTCTAGCATCAACAAGGCAGTTTCACCCACAGGACTGTCGCATACTGGATGTTTTTCCCTTTTCACAACATTCTTTGTAAACCCTAGAAATGGTTGTGTGTGAAAATCCCGGTGACTGAGCAGATTGTAAAATACTCAGACCGGCCCTTCTGGCACCAACAACCATGCCACGTTTAAAATAGCTGAAATCATCTTTCTTTCACATTCTGACATCAGTTTGGAGTTCAGGAGATTGTCTTGACCAGGACCACACTCCTAAATGCATTGAAGCAACGGACATGTGATTGTTTGATTAGATAATTGCATTAAGGAGAAGTTGAACAGGTGTTCTTAATAATTATTTAGGTGAGTGTATTTATGAACAAGAGTCAAGTCAACAACAAAAACAACCCAAACTAGCATTCAAAACTCTGAACAAATGCAGAAATCTGATGTTCGGTTCCTGCAAAATTTTTGCCTAAACTATGAAGTAAAGGTTGACAACGGGGCAAAAAAAGCTATATTTTTAAAGATAATACCTCCATAGGGCATTTAGAGGTGTGCAGAATGAAGGTATTTTATTTAAAGATAATCAAATTTTTATTTTAACAGGCACGGCACTGGGTTTATGTTTACATCTACCAGCCAATAGAGGGCACCATAGCAGGGTG